TCCTTCTTCTGTTGGAGTTTTGCCAGGAGTTCCTTCCTCATCCAGGCGGGTCTCCTGCCCGCTTTGCTCGACTTCTTACTCAGAGGGACACACCCGTCTTGAGCCTGGAGGAGGTGATGCTTGAATATTAACCAGCTCTCCTGGATCACCCTTCCTTCTAGGGCCCTCCTCCATGGGATTCCTCCAAGCAGGTCCCTGAAGAGGCCAAAGTTAGCTCTCCTCAAGTCCAGCGTTGCGATCCTACTCATTGCCCTGCTCCCTCCTCACAGGATCCTCAACTCCACCATCTCATGCTCACTGCAGCCAAGGCTGCCCCCAACCTTCACATCTCCAACCAGACCTTCTTTGTTTGTTAGTACAAGGTCTAGCATTGCACTTCTCCTTGTTGGCGTCTCCACCACCTAGGTCAAGAAATTATCCTCAATCCTCTGCAGGAACCTCCTCGACTGTTTGCGCCTAGCTGTGCTAGGCACATACCAATATGCAACAGCTGCATATTACTGCTTAGTCAGCTTATTTACATAGGAACATATTAAAAATAACATTGCAAATGATGCAAGCATAAACAAAATGTTCCATTTTGTTTACTGATAAACAATAAAGCTGCCATTAAAGAGAAATATTATTGGGCTTTACATACTAAACATTAAGTGTAGTGCAAGAAAAATGTAATACATCTTTACTCAACCACAAGACAAAAGAGAAGACAGACAGACAGAGGGCTACTGTAAGAAGAGAAGAGCTCCTGAAGGAAGGTCTTGAATGAATATGAGATCAAGGCATCAGCTAAAAAAAAAAAGTGAAGCAAAGTATGGTTAATATAAAAGTTGAAAAAATAAAAATTAAACTAACAGTAATCTAAATGAAGATTTCCATTAGATACATGGACAATCCTTCTGGAAAGGATACTGTGCTGCATATTTTCTGTGTCTTTTGGAATTTAAGTTTAGATGTAACAACTTATTTTCACAAGTTTAGTTCTTACATATGTGAATGTGCTATTTTTACTGCCGTTAATAACAGCAGGATTTATTTCCCCCCCCAAGCATTTCATTTAAAACTAGTGAGAAAAGAATCCCACAAAGTAGAAGAGGGTTCAGAATACATCTCTCTTACTTGTCACCGTTAGTCAAGGTCTTCCAGTTTGCATTCTACCTTCAGCTGTATTTGTGCAACCCTTCAGGAGAACACAGTCAGAACAACCAACTTGAGCTGACTATTTTGCAATTCCAGAACCAGGAAAGAATCTGACCATCATTACTGTGATAATCCAAAGAACCCCCTCCTCCCCCCCACCCCCACCTTTCTTTTGGACTACAACAAATACTTTACTTGAACACATATACGTTTTCAGAAGTAGATCCTTTATTCTTGAATATTTAGATTGTCAGCTAAAGACTTAGTATATGAAATATGTAAACAAGAAGTGCATCAACGTTCAGTTAAAATACTTCTTCTAAAGTTTGGTATGGGACATATGTCTGCAACCATCAAATAAAATTATAATCCACTGTATCTCTTCACCTTTTCCTACACAACAGTAGGTTTTACATTATGCAGATCAGGGAGGTGTCTGAAAAAACAAAAAAGCACAGCCTTGTATTTTGATGGAAGTGATTGAACTGAGGAGGATCAGGGTCCGAACAGTCACAGCCAAATGGGTGCACTAGGGTCACCTGATTTGTACAGTACTGGAATAGTCAAAGTATATAACTTATTGCCAGTTCACATACTTCAACTTGAAGTATTGCATTAGCCTAAATAGCCATTTCTTCTTCCACATGATCTTTGTAGTTGGTGAAAAATCACATGTAAAAAATAGGTGGAAAACTCTCAGAAACATAAGCTTTATACCTTATGCTCCAAGCACACTGATCTAAAATACAATATGAACAAAGTGACTGTTAAATGCCTGCAAGTTAATCAGTGTTTTGAATTCTTCCATTTTAAATGAGTTATTTATAACTTGAGAAATAAATTGTTTCCTAACACAAATTATGAACATTATCACACAGATGAAATATGCATTTTAACACTTGTTCTCAAGATAAAACTTAGTACTTCATAATCATAAAAAAACCTACTGGCTTTTAAGCATATTAAAAAAAGAAAACTATTCCCAATAACACTATGACTTAAAGACAGTGAAGACAAAAAAACAAACAAAAAAAAATCCACAAATACACACAGAACTTTGAGTCAGTTTCCAAAATTTTTTCCTACTATTTGTGAAGTTCATTATTTAAACATAGGTTTATTTTCTTATTTTAAATAAATGTTTAATATACATACTTATACAGTGGCTTAAATTAAGGCATAATTCAGCTGGCTGAAGTTTTGAATAAAATGTCTCTGTTGCTTTACATTAGTAATAACTGGTTCATATTACCCCTGGAAAAAGTAATGTAGTCCATTAAAGAGTAGACTGAAAAATAGATCTCTCTACTACCATTTACTGTGTTCCATTTGGTTCATTAGTCAATTAAATGCACTGCAGGCCTTTGGACTCGGGAAGCCTTTCAAGAAACTCACCATTAAATCAACTTATCAGAGAGGGCTCAAGGCTTTAAACAGAAGCTGGTAAAATTCTGGATCCATAGTGTGGTTTTTACAGAAAGCCTTTAACAACTCTAGAGAAAGAATACTGTCCACTCAACATGAAACAGGAGAGAAAATGAAAAGAAGTTATCATCCATAAAACACAGCACAAACTTTTGGAAGGCCTAGCAAAAGACAATGACTAAGTTTAACATACTGACATTAAAAGAGAACCTTCCAGAATTCAACTCTGCACGCCAACTAGAGCTTAACTTAAAAATCATTGCTTCAGATCATGACACTATAATGATACTTTTGTAAATATCACATTTTGGGTCCTCAGAATACTAAGAAGAGAATTTCTTGCATGGCATTTGGAATCATATTCTAGGATCCTACAATATTTCTGTGACCTCTTCCATTTCAGATTTTTTTTTTTTGAAAGGGAATGCAATGTAAGCATAGAATACTGACATCTTTGATAAAGCCATGTGTTCTAACTTCTTAAATGAGATAAGTGAAATGCAAATCTCATTATCCCTCTGTGCGTAGCAAAGTTGATGCATAAAAAACTCAATCATGTCATATGAAAAAAATTATTATTTTCTGGTATGTAAAGAAAGACAGCTGCACCTGAAATAGTTTAAAATGTATACAGATTTAGTCCTTCCCAATGTCATGAAGCAAAAGATACAAGATAATATGCTAGATCACAGCCTCCTTCCAGAACCTGACATGCCTCACTCTGGCTACTTCTGAGACAAGGACAAAACATGATTTGAGGCAGTCAATTAGTTACTGAGTGGCAAGTAACTAAATCACAACTGACTATAGCACCATACATACTCCCTGGAGAATGATGAAACCAAACTATTTTTCTTCAGAATTAGAAACCTCACCTATATTCCTTAAAAGGATAATAAATAGAAGCTCAAAAAAAAAAAAACCCAGTAAAATATTTTTAATTTTACTTTAACGCTTTCCCAGGGAAAATACTGCCTATTAAACCGAGTATAGTGCTACTACTTACTTTGTTTTGTTTGTTTTTAAAACTTCAAACATTCAAAATAAACTTATTCTACTACACTGTGTTTTGCAATAAACATTGTAATTTTTTTTTCCCCAGAGACAACCCCTAGAGTTCATACAAGGGCTTACAAGGCTTCCTGCAGGTCCATTCATCCTGCCTTTTAAACTAGACCAGTAACCAACCCAGATACCTGGAAGTAAAAACAAAGACAACAAACATTAAGAGATGCATTTAATGCACCACGGTAATATAAGTCCTGTCAGAGGCTGGTAATGTAACCAGCTCCCTGCACTGCCTGAATATCAGTTAATACTAAAGCATTTCCTCGCATCAATGGCTTTGACAAGTAGGGAAAAGTAAAAATGCGACAATAGGGAAAGTGCTAAAAATGTATCACATTTCTCTCGACTTAGCATGGCAGCAGATTCATTCAATGCTTTTCCCTCCATGCTCACCTACACTACGCTAAAGCAGCACAAGAGCTACACAAGCAGAGTACTGCTTAAATAAAAACTCTTAATACTACCCCAGTATAACTAAACTGGAACAGTAAAAGGCATCCACTAATAAAATGATCACCAAAATTCATACATCAGAATCCTTGTAGAGCACCATATTTCAGAAAAATGTTTGAAGTGTATAGCTGTACCAAAGCTGGAGGCAGAACATTCTTGGCTGGATTTGATGATCAGACTCCCAGTGAGGTTTCTCAATGAATGCGAGCACTACTAAACCAGTCTAACTACACACTGGTTTTATGTGGCTATGTCTTTGAGGGGAAAAGGGGGTTCCTATCACATCATTTATTCGGGCTGCTTTTGCTCTGGGTTTAGACTTTTGCTTTCAAGGTCATCCTTCTTCTGACTGGCTGGTTCCTCACTCTGAGAGACAGAAGTTTCTGATTGTTCTGTCTTTGTATTGGTATCGGCCAGCTCCTCCGCAGTCATAGTGGGGCCATGCAGATCCTCCACGTGAAGGGTAGGATTAGTCATTTGCTCTGTGTCTTGTTGAGAGGCTGGTACATTGGTATCTTTGGGAAGCTCATGGCAGTTGACAGGAGTTATCACCAAGGGAGGCTGAGGTAGGTCTTTCTGTAAACAAAAGATCATGGTTAGAACGATGTGAAGCAGGAACTATTACTGCTACCAAGAATAGTATAAACAATAACTACTAAAAGTATGAACTCAGGTTAACAGCAAACTTATTCAACTGTGTGTCCAGTTACAGATGTGATCAGAACTGTCATAAAAGACAAAGCTGAAAGACCAGTCATCTCTGCTATCAGTAGAGTCCAGTAGTAGATATCCATGCATACTCTTGTCTTATCTGTGCTTTTTAAAGCATAACAGGATTTTTCTTCCTAGTGATTAATTTAATAAAGCGATTTATTTAATCACTTCTTAAAACTCTGTAAACTTTTATCATTCATAACGTTTTTGGCAGCAAGTTTCATAAACATAAGAAAAGTCATAACAAAAAACCCTTGCTTGAACTCATGACTTAATTCTTGTACTGTGACAGCTGTATAAAATCATTTTCTCCACCTTTTCCATGACATTTATGGTTTTCTAGACCTCCTTGCAAAGCTGTTCTATAGCTCTGGCATCCCTATCTTTCCTTTGTCAAAGGGAAAGCAGGACTGTACACAGTATTCAGAAGGCAAGCTCATAACATTTACACAGTGATGCTACTTTGCTCTCCATTTCTTTCTAGTGATTACTAGCATTGAATTCATTATTGGTTTTTCTTTTTGACTGACTTTGTGCCTGATTTTCTGATATTTCCAAGAAGAGGCAACTGTTTTCTGCATCATCTGCACTATATTCAAGCTAAGCTTATGTATTAAAGTTTTAATTTTTTTTTTAAACCTTCTTTGCAAGCTCCAGTCTCTCATCTGTGTGGTCAGAATGTGGTGGTAGCCTTAGTGCTATGAAGATCTCTTGCTACCACATACAGCAATGAAATTCTTACGGGATTTGTAATCGGCAATGACTGTTCCTCCTGCCACTCTGATCCAGAGGAAGTGAGTTGCTGTTATTTTAAAACTTCCTTTGTAGAGGGGAATAACATTTACTTGCTAAGATCCTTCTGGAACCCACCTAACAAATCTCTTGCTTTTGCAAGCCTCTAAGGGAATAAAAATGCTTTAAATCTCTTGGCTTGTACATTTTGTGATGTATTAATAGTGGTGGTTTTAGCCCCTTATTCTTGGTCTTCAGTTGTGACCGACTGTCCAGAAACATTGCAACCTATATGTGGGGCATACAAAGCACTGCAAATCCTACTCAACTGACTCCCTATTACTTGGCTTCCTGTAATCATTTGCTGACTCCACCAGTCCCATCAAATTAGATGTTCTTACTGAAGGTTCCTGAAAGTTACTCCAGTAACTTCAAACAATCTATAAAAACCAAAAAGATTTACTATGTATTCTCTGAAATAGGTCCTACTGATTCACAAAGATAGAGAGCTGGAGTCTGGAGAAGGTGAGTGAAACACTTGGAATCTATAGCTTGATCATTTCTCACCGATTTCAGGTGTGCTTTGCTGCTTACTCAGAGACAGCAATCAACATTTTCGCACTTCAGAATCATCTGGTTTTGCCCGTCTTTAGTACTGGTGCATAACAACTATCACTTTCTCTGACATATTTCAGGTGATCTCAAATACATTTTTTCCACAACTTTCCCTTGGACAACTGAGTTTATCAAAAATAACTGAATAATGAAATAACGGTGCCCTGCAGGGGGAACCTCCAGATTGATACTTTCTCCATTCAAGTTTAAAAAAAAAAAAAAATTAAGGAAACGAATTTCACTTGTAAACTGATTATTTAGTATCTTGTACTAGGCTATGAAAAAATATGGAGAAAAGGATTTTTAAAGAGCTGCTTACTGTAATAATAAAAATAATAATATTTTCAAAGATCAAACCACTAAAATTACAACAGAATTAAGATGGATACACAAGAACTAATGTACTTTTCACTAGTCAGTTTAAGCGGCCATAAACAAAGAAAAACTAAAAAAAATTCCTGAGGCCAACAAAAAAAAATTAAAAAGGAAACATTCAGTCAAGCAAACAAATTCTTTGTTTCTGTTGGATAATACTACAATATTTTACTCAACTTTAATTCTAGTTAGGTTTTATAATATTAGTATTTCTTGAAGACACTCATATCAAACTGGTATTCACCGCAAAGCCGCTGCCCGTCCAGAACATTGTAAGCTCCTTTCTCCAAAGAGCCACAGCAAAGCTTGTGATAAGCGTACACGGCACCAAGTAGAGGAGAGCTGGCTGGCCCATCTGCATCAATGCCAAGGCTACAAAGGTTACAAGAAGGCCTATGCCATATGCTAGAAGGAAACAAAACCACCAAGAAGAGATATTCAGTTACAGCTGAGCTAAGAATAGTTAAATAATTAGCCAGATAAGCATTATAACAGCAACTTTTATCGAGTAATACATTTAAAAAAAAAAAACACTTTCAGAACTTTTTCAAGCTTCTTCAAACTCAAACATTATACATAAAATATACATTTGGAATAGTAATTTGCTTAGCAGTCATACTACAGTCTATTGATAATACGTTGTGAAAGTAATGTGATCTGCCTAGTCTGTGATTAATTCATTGCCTTGAGCAGTTTTAGAGAGGTAAAATAAATAAATGAAACAGTTTCTCCTATTGTACTTATGAATTCAACAGATATAGACAAGATGTTGACCACTATAACACGTACTTTGCATTTGGTTTAGCTTCAGCTGTGCTTCTCATTATGCTGCAACATCACCAAAACCAAAACCAGCTGTATGCTATAACTAATATTTCTTTTACTTTAATTACTGCATATATTTTGCAGAAATTACTATGTAGAACAGGAATGTTTTATTTAAGATCTCATATAATGATTATTTTCAATTGTATTTTCAAAACAATGAATCTAAATCTGATTTCTGAACAATAAATCAGTTGGATGACTGGAATACTCGCTCATTAATAACTGTTGACAATTCTTCAAAATTTTTCTCAGGGTACACTGTTATTAGCGAGAGTTCCTTGTACCTAATTTTAATATTCCTTGTTGCATCTTGGGTCCACTGCCTCTCACCCTATCCCTGTGCAGCTCCAAGAAAAATCTGGCTCTATCTTCTCTACATCCTCCCATTAGGTAGCTGCGGACAGCAACAGAATCTCCCCTTTGCCTTCTCTTCTCTAGGCTGAAGAAAACCAGTTCTTTCAGCCTCTTTGAATGTCACATGCTCAAGCCCCTGACCATCTTGGTGGGCCTCCACTGAACTTGCTCAGTATGTCAATGTCTTGCATCGGAGATCCCCAAACCAGATACAATACTCCAGATGCAGTTTCAAGTGCCAAATAGAGGGGAATAATCACTTCTCTCAACCTGCTCGCTGCACTCTTAAAACAATCTAGTATATGGTTAGTTTTCATTACTGCAAAAGTGCACTTTTGACTCTTCACTGATATGACATTTTTCCATCAATTTCTGCAAAAATGGTTTGAAAGTATCAGAACAGAAAGGAGTTTAGTTCAAGAGCCTCCGATATGGACTTAAATTAAGTTTTCATACCTTGAAATAAAAGTGCAAAATCAGAGTTTCTTTAGCTGTGCTAGTTATTTTTGCAATTTCTAAAACAGTTTTTAAAAGTTTTTCCATGATGGATTCTACAGATTACTGTATAAAAACACAAAAAACCACAAAATAGAAAAGGAATGGTGAAATAGACAATGATGCCAGAAGTCAGTTAATTCAAACGCTCTGCCAAAGTCAAAATTATTAGCTGTTACATGGACATGCAAGACCAAGTTATTTACAAGTTTGCTGTCTCCAAAACCCTTACCATCCTGCCCTAAAAGGGAATTATGTTAGTTTTCAAAATTTGACCTGGAGTTTTAGGTTACTGCTTTTATCCTCTAAAGGACATGACCCCAAATGAAGCTCCTGACTGTGACTTAAACAACCCCAAAACACCAAGACATTTGCTTGTGAGAAAACTGTAGTTATTTAAGACGTAACAGTTAATCTGTCCATAAATCCCACAGCTGCAACATAGTCATTGATCATATGGCTTCTCAGAAGCTGTTTCACAGGTAAGAGGTTCACCCATATTATCACCAACAATTAAGAACTTCTTAAATCATTACAACGATTTAACAAAGAAACATCTGACAAAAGCCTCAGATATTTCAAATCAATAAAGTCAAGATGATAGTAACTTTGAAGAAATTACAGCCATCATGATGTGATTTGTTACATCATAGGTCAATCACAGCTTTTTGACGAATACACAAAAGCTAAAAACAAAGTCAGATACCCTTGAACCTGAATTTTTGTATGTAATATAATATACTCAAGGATGTGTGAACAAGGAAATTAGAACGAGCAGCTAAGCATATATAAAGATACTGTAGATGAAGTAGGGTTTCTGGTGATACATAAACCATGACAACAACAAGCCTCATATATATGCTGGACAAAACAGCTCAGGGAGTCAACACGTCAGATAACTTGGTGATGAAAGGTCTAGCCTCCAATGTACAGCACAGTTCTATTTGCTTCTCTAAGCTACCTCACTGTCTGATAATAAAGGAGGAGAAGAATCACAAACCAAACTGTGTAACAAGAGATCTATGATATGCTTTTAAAGAGAGTAATTCCTCTAGCCATTGTGTTCAAGAGTCAGTGTCATACATACCTATTGTGCAGGCTACAAAATAGACTCTGGAGGACTGCACCTGAATATCAAATCTATGGCAATACGCCACCAGTAAGCCTATGAAAGTAAGGAAATTACAACAGTTTTTCAACATGCTCATAGATGAAGATACACAAAAACATTCACTTATGCAGGAACCTTTAAGATTTTTCCAGTACTTCTTTGTGCACTGCTGTTTAACTACTATGGCAGTATTATTCAAGAGACTGTACACCTTACATAGCAGTTATATACTTAATACAAGCCCAGTACAATACAAGCAATCTAATAGTAATATTAGTACCTATAAATAAGGAGATCCAAGATAACAAAAGACAATCCAATCCCCAAGAGTTACAAAAATATGATGTTCAGATTAAGAAGGGTAGGTTTATCATTTATATTTCCTAGTAAAGGCAGTGGTAATTTATGGCTTATGACTCTGCCTACTATAGATCAGTTATACAATTTTATATAGAGCAGCTCAAAATATTACTGATTTGTGTTTTATCAATCCTTAATTGAAGTGATCTGATTGGCTCTTCAATGCAATAGGAAGACAGTAAGCAAATGTGTCTTGCAGATATTTAATTAGGAGAAATCCTTATGTATTTTACTCATTTTTGTGAAAATTAGAAACAAATAATTATTCTGGGGAACCAAAGCAACAAGGTGACAATTTTACCACAGAAGATTATATAACTAAAAAAAAAAAAAAGAGATATTCACAATAAATGAGGGCTACCAGAAGAATTGTCCACATGCACAGTATTGTTTATGTTCAGTCACTACAGACTGCATAATTTTGTTACTCTCAGACTAAGTTCCTTGATGTTACATGAGCATGTGTGGAACACTTGGTTCACTCCCAGGTTTGAGCCTTGGAAGAAAGTGATCCTGAGGAAACACTGGAGAGCCACTGGGAGGTTACAGTATGAATGGGCAGCACATCCTGAAGAATCCTAATCACTGGTAAATATTTTATTTATTTATTTATTTGGTGACCTCCAATCGCAACCATTTTGTGATTCTGTGATGAGATCTCTGGAGATCATCTAGTCCAACCCACTGGCTCGAGCGGAGTTACCTGCAGCAGGTTGCCCAGCACCCTATCCACATGGCTTTTGAATATCTCAAAGAATAGAGAGCCCACAACCTCTCTGGGCAACCTGTTCCCATCCTCTGTTTACTCTCACAATGAAGAAGTTTTTCCTTATAGTCAGACAGAACTTCCTGTGCTTCAGTTTGTGCCCACTGCCTCTCATCCTATCACTGAGCACCAGTGAGAAGAGTCTGGCCCCATCCTCTTTATACCCTCCCTTCAGATATTTATACACATCGACAAGATCCCCGCCCAAGCCTTCTCTTCTCCAGGCTGAACAGTCCCAGCTCTCTCCATCTTTCCTCATATGAGAGATGCTCTAGTCTCTTTATCATCTTAGTAGCCCTTAACTGGACTCGCTCCAGTAGCTCCACATCTCTCTCACACTGGGGAGCCCAGAGACTTGTCCATAAGGACACCCAGCCAGTGACTGCAAGTAACTCCCAGCTTTTGTAACTGCATAGTGTTGGTGAAGGTATGGATAGAGCTCTAGGTAGCAAGTTGATGAATGGTAAAGATGGAGACAGGTCTCAAAGGATACTGATGCACTACACACTTCAATGACAGAGGCTGCCTTAGATTCTGCGGTCTCATAATTGACCTTATCAGAGCCTATTTTGCATTTTGACAATTAATGAATGGGGATGTCCACAAGTGAATCACTGGAGCCAGAGAAATATCAAGTTCCATGTTAAGGATCTAATCCTCTAAACATAAGGACTGAAACCTTCTTCAGACAGAGGCAGTTTTGGTGCTGGACATATGAAAAAGTAAGGAGAGAAAGTTGCAAGTGAATGAAGGGATGTTAAAGATCCATGGATTCTTCAGTCCAATTCAACTCCACTTTTAAGCTTTAGTTTTCACATCCTGCAGGTGCAGCTTTGAGTGAGAAGCATTTGTTACATGCACTCAAGTGCCCCTCTCCCAAAACAACAAAAGCTCCTTACACAAAGCTCAGTGGGGGAAATGTGGCCACTGCAGGTGGCACAAGGTCATCAGATGCAACTTGCTGCAAGTCTACTGAGAAATCTCCAGTGAAAGATAGGAAAACTCAGAGAAACAGAACAAAAAGATGAAAAAGGATTTCTGGAAGAAATTTGAAAGCCAAAGCTGTTTTCAACTGCAATGGTGCTGTCCATACTTCTACATACTGTCTGATGTAGAATTTGAGAAAAGGTGTGGTAGAAACACTGGGCGTTCTGTGAATAACAAAATTAAAATTTTAAGTCACTATGTGTTTTGTCTGTGTGTATGCATATATATATATATACACACACACACACACACACACGTGTGCAAAGGGAAAAGCCACTTGAAGACATAACCTCTACCATCACACAGTATTAAAAAATATTTATATATTTATATATAAAACAATTGCTAAATCAACTCTTCAGATTTTCTCTACATTTCTTGATATCTCTGCATGTGAAACTTAACCACATTAACGTGGATTTAATTTATTGGTAAAAACAAACAGTGCAGAAAAAAGAAAGAACATAAAAGGTTTATTTATATCAGGTTTATTCAAGTCAAATCAGGTTTCCCAATTGAAATGGTAGTAGACGCGGAATAAACTAATACCACACGTGCAACAAGAAAAATTCTTAACACACTAAGAAATACCTGGAACTAAAATGTCTCCAAATCCTAGGAGAGAAAAAGGCCTATCACAAAGAGCCAATGGTGAGGAGTTCAGTCTTGGAACCTTCAGGACCATTGGGAGCTTGGAAATGAAAGAGACATATTTTATGGAAAGATGTTTTCTCTATGTATTACCAACACTTGCTAGAATTGTTGTATTGAAACTGCAGACTACAAATAGAGGAAACATCTTTTTCACATCATAGCTGTCATTAATATTACTGATAATTAACAAAATATATTCAATACATAAGCAATGAACAAACATAAAACAAACAGCCAAGACAACCCTCAGTATGGCAAACAGATCTCAAAACATTCTATATTAATTTCAAAGTCCTCACATATGATGGGCTGCACATATCAACAACTGTTTTAACTCTAGAAAATAAGCTATTTTGGTAAGCTGACAAATGCATAAGAAATTTCCATTTATATTTGGTCCTCCTGGTTGTATTTAAAGTCTCCAAAAAGTGAAGGCTGGTATTCAAGTCACTCGTTTTCCTTATTTAAGTGTTTTATAACAGCCAATGCTCCTGTGTACTATATAAGTTGCAATGCTAATGCATGGTGGGGCAAGGTTCAGTGCAAAGAAGTACATTAAAGAAACTTCAGTTTTCTTTTTTGATTATGCTATAACCACAATAGTTGTATCTAGTTATGCTATAATTACTGCTCTTCACAATTTCTTCTGTATATAAAACTGAAACATAGGAAAACTACAATGGTACAAAATATAACAGCGTAAAAAAACAGCATGGATAGTCTACCTGTAGTTCCTCCTGCAAACAACTATTTTCTTTACTGTGAATTCCCATGTGATAGTAGTATATTCATTGCTCAAAAAAAAAGAGACCTAGACTTAAGTTAACAAAATCGGCCTTCTCACCAGTTTATTTTTTATTTGTTTTACACTTTGTATCTCAGCATCTCCTATACCTTACTTCCCCCTTCCCTTACCCTGACCCAAGTCAGACGCATCGTGTTCTACAGCTCTGCACAATTCTGCTGAATTCTAATGTCTGTTTTCTTTCTGAGGCCTCCAGTTTGGGTTTCTCTCCCTTGCCTAGCTTCAACTTTTCATAAGGCAATTATCAAAACTAGGGAGGGGGAAGAGACAGACTGATCATATAATTTAATCTCTTCAGGTAAAAAAGGATATACTTCACTAGCGATTAGTTTTATCTCCAAATGTGTTCACGTATTTTTGTTAAACTGAGCTAGCAAGCTTCATTGCACTAAAATCCTTAAAAATCAAGATAAAGGAAAACCAAAGCTATTATCATGAGCCACTAAAAGTTTGTATCGTCCCCTGCTTTTGCTGTGGATTTCCAAAGAGCTCAGGAGCACTTTTTACTTCCACACAAAATTCTTTTCAAACTGACATCTCCATTTCAGCTCTCTGCAGTCTTTGAACTTTTAGAGTAGTTGAGATTGTCTCATGTTTTTGGGCTACAAACAGTACCTTTTCATGCGTGGCAGAATCGGACGGGCCTGCAGCCACCTCCACCATTATACTCTCCCCTGTCTAAAGAAAAGAAGGGAAACTGTAAACCAGCAGTTCAGTCAGCAGGTCTAGGTTTGTTTAGGAACACAGAGAAACAGGCAGCTCTGTGAGTAGCAGGCACTTTACTTACCTTTGTTAGAAAAGGTGTGATAAATACAAAAAATACATCATACACAAAAAGAACCAGGAGGAGCAAGGTACAACCCTGAAGAAAGAAACAAAATCCTTTACTAATGCATAGTATGTGAATGCCCATAAACAGCAGAGAAGAATTAGCAACTTGAAAGTATTCAAATCAAAAGTTAGTATATATATATGACAAGTGACAGATCCCCAAGTAAACAACAAATCTACAAGAAGCAATCATGTTTAATAACATCTACGTTATACAGTTCTTCAGAACGTTTTTAATTGAAGACCTAAAACATGAAGTCATCGCTGAGCAGAGTACAAGGTCATTGGTACATAGTACTGTGGTGTGTTACATACAAACCAACTAGAAGCAAACAGGAAGTTTTAATATCACTAGAAATATCTAGGGTACCACCTGAGAACGAATACAGTAGCTGCACTAACAGGATGGAGTATGCAACTTCAGTGTTTGCTCACATGCGGGCAAATTCTCTTTTTACATCTACGTAATTTCCATACCTTAAACGTAGGCAGGCGAATTGTTTTCAACATGTAAAGACAGAAAGCAATTCCTAAAGCATCTTGCAGAATCCAGGCCCACCTAAAGAAAGAAAATAGTTTTCTTTTCTTTCCCCATCCTCAGCTGAATTTTGAGACTGAACGGAGAGATGGAAGTTAAGGCCCCCTCTCTCAACTCATACTGCGAGAGAAAAGTGGCAGAGTGAAATCAAGAAAGAAGATCCATGTTTAGAGTGTTTCACCTTCTATGAAAAAAAATCTGAGCTGAAAACTGCTGCAACTATAAAGTGTTGGTTTATTGCCATGTAAGTTAAGTCTTTATGAACTTAAATACTTTAAGTAATAACAACCAAATGTTATTGTTTTTTCCAAAGATGTAAGTAAACAAACGAAAACCCATCAAACAAAAGAACACATCCACCTCTATATTATATTATCACTAGTTTAACCAAAATGAACTGAAATTAGCCTTAGAAATCAATCTGCCACGATTCATAAAACAGATTCAAACCTGCATCAGTTCTTAACAGATAGTAAGACTACAAACTGTTTGTGGAACAATAAAGTACATTTCAATTCTAAAAATAAATCTGTCATGTCTGGCAATCTTCCAACAATAATATATATTTTAGGTGAATAAACTGGATGAGAATTATGCAGTGTAAAATACTGCCACTGAACAATAACCAGTAGCAGAAAAGGTCTAGTATATATTTGAAGGTTATTGAATGCTTTGCCCTAGAAGCAAGAAAGCGATCTGTGCTAAATGAACAATAATCTTTTTTGAACAGCTGTCATAGTAGAACCCTTAATAGATTGAAAGTTGTTTCGGATCTGCTAAAAAGGTTTTATTTGTGGTCTGTATGTCCTGTCAATCATGCTGTCCTTTGTGTGACCCTTAGTCAGCTGGCCCTTGTGTCCCACCCTGACATTATTAAATCATTGGTAGGGGTGACTGTCAATCAAGGCGAGCACTCTAGAAGGGGAGCAGACCTAGGCGCTGGTCGGCAGGCTGGTCCACGTGCTGGTGACGGATCCAAAACACACCAGTAAGAACGTGGATCTGGACAGAGTGTGACTAATGGCAGTGTTTGGATGCCTGCGGTCACAATGCGGTCTATCTATAAAAAGCCATGCGCCTTTAGATTGGG